TAGTTGGTTCTGCTCTTTCTACTTAGAACAATGAGTTTGGATTCTCTAAGGCAAAGCTCCTGTGTGCCACTGAGTTACAGTGAAAAGATAGAAGCTCATCGTGTGGTCTGTCTCCTGTCCCCATTCAAAAGGACAGGGAAAGCTCCAAGCTAAAGAGCTCTCTTGTTGCAAGAAAACAGCACCCTCGAGGCAGGTGATCTGTCTCCTCTACTGTGGGCCTCAGAAGCTTGGAGCTCACAACTTGTGGGCTACAGTTTTAGAGAACAAATAAACTTCAGTCTTTTCTCAGAGCCTCTTGACTAGAGAGCAAAACTGGTACTGCAGCAGGAAGACCCAGCATGTCCCCTCCTACCCTTTCTCTTTACATAGTTGCTTCACTGTCTTTCTAAGAAACACACAGGGCACTCCTTTAGTGGTCAAGTCTACCCACATGTGATTCTAATCTGAGATGTACCTGGGCAGGACTACTTGAAAAGATAGACTAGAGCATCTCCTGTTGAGTAAGGTAGACCTGTAGCCTCTCTCTGGTCTGGTTCACCAGTCTGCTTGGTGTTATCTGTCAGTGCTGAAAAGCTTCCTTCATCAGCTTGGTGTCACAGGTATAACTTTGTCTAAGAAAATTAAGGAGGAATTGGGCTAGCCAAGGCCTCCAGGAGGGGCACTGACAAACCCTGGACAGTCCTTTCCTTCCTGTTTTGTTACTAGGGAGAAGCACATAGTTCTATTGCAAGCCTATAGTCTACCTTATGAGTAGACTATAGGAATGTACACATTAACAGGATCCATAAGTTATTATATTGCTGTGTGTGGTATTTGATGACATTTCATATTGTATACTAATTATCTAACATCTAGACATGTAAACCTCCTGCCTCGTGTCATTCTCTCCAGAGCCACAGACTAGGGATGATACTGCAGAGCACCCAGCTTCAAACCTAGTAGCCTTTAGAGAAGGTAACCTCTCTTTCTCCCTAAGAGATGTCCATTCAAACTACTTGAATTCCTCTGAGAATGAGGAGCTCACTACATTTCGAGGGAACTCATCTAACAACTGGCAGCTCTATTTACTAAAAAGCTTTTCTCATCCTGAGTAAGGATTTGTCTTACTGAAACATTCTCCCTAGATTTATTACCTCTGGGCAACATAAGTTTGCTTTTTTTGTCCCATGATGTCCCTGAGACTTTGTAGAGACCACAACCTTGTTTTCCTATCCCTGCTCCCTCTCATGTTTTATCTGAAGGAGAAGGGCCCCACTCTCCTTGTCCATGTCTAATGGTCACTGGTATTTCTGCACACTTCTGAATTCTGGTCACATTTCAAACAATCATAGATGCCAAACATGGTGCTACATACCTTTAAGCCTAGCACTGGGGATGCAGAGGCAGGCAGATCTCTGTGAGTTCAAGGCCAGCATGGTCTATATAATGAGTTCCCGGCCAACTGAGACTGTAGGGAGACTTTGTCTCAAAAAGCAAAATAGGTTGTAGGAGTAATATGGTTCCCTTTGGCTTTCAAAACTAGCTAGGCATTGTTTATCTCTCACATTGTCTCACCCCTCCAACATGGTTTTCCCACTTAAGGTGCCCCCATTTCCCCCCTTTCTCCCTTAATAATGCCCTTCTCCTACAATCCTACCTCTTGACCTCCTTCTTTCCCTTTATCCCCTAGGTTCTTTGTATACTATCGCCTAGATATACCCTTCCCTCCCCACCTCCCTTAAACTAACCCAATTTTTATCCATATCTCCCGTATTAAGGTCTGTTTCCTACTGTTCTTCTCTTTCAGGTTCTTTCTTTTCCTTTACATTCCTGTTTCCTTTCCATTTTCCTGGTTCCTGTAGTTATGTCTGATTACATATTCATTTATCAGGGTCTGGTTCTAGGATCCACATATGAGGGATAACTATGTCTAGGTAAAGCTTATCTGAGAGCTGGTCTTTGCCCAAGATTTACCTACATGACACACAGTAATTAAAAGTACCAGACTGGTGGAACTAACCTTGAATGTTTAACAGACATACTTTGAGGCCTATACTAATTTGATCAGGGGGACATAAAGGACAGTTTTTGATCCTTGCCTGTGGAGACCATCCACATCCGCATTCGGCCATGTTCCGCATTTGGCCTTGTTCAGGCTTGTCTGGGCTTGTTTCTGGAATCCTGTTAGAACCAGCTTTTCCTGGTAACTGCTGATGCATGGGTCGACCAATCCAAAATAGCCACCTAGTATTTTCTACCTATCAGAGTAAGGCCACCAGTAAGTGGAACCGCCAATCGGTGTGAAGGCCCCTCCCACGGGCTGGATTGTATATAAGGGCACGCCCGAGCCCGCTCGCGCTCTCTCCGTCCCCACCATCGCTGTAACTTCTTCAATCCTGCAATAAAGCTCAGCTGACGAGAAGGATTCCAGAGTTGCGTCTTCCTTGCTGGTCAAAGGAAACTATAACCAAAGATTAAAGGAGCCAATATAATTTCTTAAGAGTCCATATGCATAGCTAAAGGCTACAAAACAACAATACCAGACAAGCGATACCTTCTTTGGAGTTGTTGGCCAGGGTGGCCAAAGGGACTCCCAGATAGTAACCCAGCATAGAACTGGGAAAATGAACAGCAGACCCCAATCTTATCTAAAGGAATATAGACAACTGATTACCGCTAGATGAGGAACAGCTGACCTTCCTAAAACAAAGCGCTCTAGATAGGCTGACTAGATCCACCAGAAGAGCAAGTAGTGGGGAATGGCTGGAGGTGCCGACAACACAGCAGACAGTCAGGGATATCAGAGTATAAGGGCTCTAGTGGGGGGAAGGAGGCTATGGAAGGGTGCCATCTGGGAAGTGGGTGAAATCTACCTGATGACTTTATATCCATGCTTAGATGCCAAGGAGCTCAGAAAGTAACCGACTGTGATTGGTAATAATCTGATATATAGAGATTAGAAATGCATGTGCAAACATCTTAATGTCAATTGCATTAAAAATGAATTTTTCTGTATGAAACTTTATACTGAGTACAATATTGTATAACTGTAATAATTCAACTGTAAACCTAAAAATTTATAGCCAATTCTGAAAAAGATGCATCTTAGCTTAGAAAATTGTTATTGAATATGTCAATGCTGATGTAATGAAATGCTTCTTCTAAGTATGTGGTTATTAAATAAATAATTTTTTTAAAAAGTAAAAAATAACAAAAAAAGCAAAAGAAAAAATAAAAGAAAAAGATCATAGCTATCATTTAGTAAGCACATAAACTTTCTGATTTAACTCCCCTCACCTAAGTTCATTAAATCCTCATAACTATCCAAGTGATATAGGTATTGCTAGTCACATCTTACAAGTGAGAAAACCGAGATCCATAGAGTTAAAATAACTTGCCTGATATTCAACAGATATTAAAACTTAATGTTAGAGCTTGAATTCAGAATTAGAACCCAAAGTTGCCTGTCTCCATGTTTTAACCTGTTTTCTAATTCATCAACGTGGTTTTTAAAAGATGGCACACACGGCTCTTTCATTTTATGAAACCTGCCTCTGTACATGCTATCTAAACTGATACTGTTGTCATTTCTGATAATGCCACATATCAGTTCATGTTGAGCTGGGTGCAGACTTAAACTCTCCAGGACTGTGGCACAGGGACTGCAGAGAGTTCAAGTTTGACCATTTTTCCACATGTCAACAAAGCCCCTGACCTTAAAGAGACTTATTCCAATTTGGGGTTGGCTGGTTGGTCCTCAGGGTGATGGGGAACCAAACAGGAAAGGTGCCAAGAATACGCAGAGGTACAGAGGTGCTGCACAAACCACTTTATTTGGATAATAAAAACCTAGGAAGGTGGCTGTATATATGAGGAAACATTTGTAGCCAATGAACATACAGTTCTTTGTTACCATTTCTGAAACCAGTATGCAAAGAGAAAAATAAGCTTTGCTCTTGATTTTTGCAATAAACTGAAAATCTCCACCACAGGCAGAAAGAATGCTTAACTGGAGGTGTGAGCTGAAGGCCTTATCTCCCTGGAGCCTCTCATCCTCTTCCTATCTCCTAATCCTTATTTCTGGGAGGTCATTTTAATTAGCAGGCTGTCATGGTGACTCAGCCTGCTGCTTCCCCAGAACGGGAAGGGAGTATACTCCTCTGGACCCATTCATCACACAAAGGCACTTTTAAGCTTCAGAAAAAATGCACAATGTTTAGCTTGCTTCACCTTGGGAACTGCTTCTGCTGTTGTTTTATCTTATCTCTCCTACCTGCCTGGGGTGCATTCCTTTGTCTTTTGCTTCCCTCTTACCTGGTAGTCACCCTGCTCTCATTGCAGAGTATGAGGGCTCACCTCCCTGGATCCCTGTTACCAGGAACTTGTAGACCTTAACTATGGTAGATCTTTTGGAATGAACGAGCAATATTTTGTTATGTTTTGTTTTTGGAGCTAGAGTTTCAATTAAACTACCCAGGAAGTTGAAAAAATAGTTCTCAGAACAGTTTCCTGAAGTGGCATGCCAGGGCTTGACGAAATCGGAGAGCAAGCAGCTTATAGATACAGTGACTATGTTTCTAAGACCACTGTGATTTCAAAAATTCTGTTCCATTGTTCCCAACCATACATTTGCCCTTGACTTGGGTGCCTGTTGCTGTTGCTTTGGATCTGAAAGTATGGAGACTACACTTAGGAGGCTGGAAAAAACCATAACTTATTTTAAAATTAGCCATGTGTAGTGTGGCTTCACAACTCTTAAATGTAAGGAGGGGGCTTTCGGACAACTGACCTGAGATGGAAATGCTTAGGAGGGGTATGTAAGTTTTCCTCTATGATATATAAAATAGCATCTGTGCTGACCTGCCTCCAGTCTCCTCTTTTGCTCAGCCTTAAGCTGAAGACTCACAATTGATTTTCCATTGGAAAAGGAAAAAAAAAAAAATGATGAAATTTCTTTCCTTTTTCCCTCCCTTTCACTAGCTTATGCATTATCCCTCAAAACCCTATCCTGGAAATCAGAGAAAGGCAATTAATTTCATGCCCCAGGAGGAAATACATGTTCCTGCTCCCACAAAACTTCTGGGCTCCGTGTCTTTAGAAGGGGGTTGAAGGGTCTTTGTGGTTCAGTGAGTTCTTCTTGTCCCCTTTGCCATTGGGGTAGTTGCTGGCTGGGCCCCGCGGGAATGGGTGCTTGTAAGGAGGGGGTTTTTCTTTCCTGCAAAGAGGGAGATAACAGAAAGAGAAGACAGCATATATACACACTGTAATGAAATCACTGTGTGAACATCTATCTCCCCCACTGAACAGTGACCTCCTTGGGGCAGCAGCCTTGCCTTCAGTGTGTCTCCACAACACAGCTCACAGTCTGGTTAGAAGCAGTCATTGTATCAATGAATGTCTGCTAGATGGATGGATACATGCATACATTGTGTCATTCTAGATCTGGAGGAAATTCAAATCTCCTACAGCTCCAACATCGTACTTTGCCACCCTGACTCCAACTCATTCAACACTTTACATGTGGAATGGGAATGAACAGAAAGGTTATAGTTTGGAAATAGCCAATAGAATTACACAGCCTGTTTTGGGGTCCCAAGGCTTGAAAACCATTGGTGAATTAAAAAAAAAAGAGAGTTTAACTTGGGAGGCCAAGGGATATCATTCCCTGCATGATCTTCATGGGCTCCAGAGTCCCCTTTTTATTCCTCAGAATAGCCTAATCATAGCAGTTCACAATGTTGTCTTCCCAGCAAGCTTAGGATCTTGAAAAGCAGAGGTGCATCTGTTTTGCCTCTGTGTCCTAGCACGTAGTGCCTAATACAGTACCACTATATTTCAGCAGTCACATGAGGCAATGAACTCCTCATGAGCAGGAACCATATTTTGTCCACTTTTGCATTTTATCTCATTCAGTGCCTTGTTATATTTTTAACGGATAACTTGATTTATATAGTCACAGGACCACGATTATATCCAGTGAGAAGATTGGGCTTTTATGTACAAAAGAAATTGTTCTGAATTCCCAAGTAGGCTATACACAAGAGGGAAAGACTTGGGCAAGAGTTTTAACTTCTTTGAATTTCATTTGTAAAGTGAGAATGAAATATTCCAATCTTAATGGTGTTGTGAGGTTAAATGAGATAATACAATATGAGCGAACAACTCTGGTGTCTGCTTTCATGCTATTATTTTCTAGGTGCTGAGTGTAATTCCTGAGACTCTGGAGGTGACAAAGCTGGAGACAGAAGTTGATGCTGTCCTCAATTTGTTTACATTCAGTAGAGGAGATAGCTGTGCAAAACAACCACTCAAAAGACTGAGGCATGAAGCCAGATGCCAGAAATAGGGAATCTAGTGGGCTGTTTGAACTGAAGAAATGGCTTGTGGCCATTGTGCTCTGACCTTGGAATGACTGTTTCATTCACAGCTGATGAGTTGCAAATTGGGTAAAGATAGGGTAAATGTCAGCATACCAAGTATACCTGGCCTTGGCATATCTCCCTTCAGCCTCAGTGCCTGAAAACCCATCCTCCTTGAAGATCTGTCTAACATGAGGTGGCTGTGTATAGCAGGTGAGATGCACCTAAACACCAGTGCTCTTCAACACCTACAAACAAACAATGTGATCTTTATGAGTTTTTTTTTCATTTGCAGTGCCAGGGTTGGAACCCAAGGTTTCATGCATACTAGCCAAGTGCTATATACCTCTAAGCAACATCCTAAGCACTGAGACAATGTGATCTTGAAGCAGAAGCTTACACTTCTTCCTTTGGTAAGGCAGCTCTAGGTAGATGAAGACATGGCAATAAGATGCATATTGGCTAATGATGAGCGTAAGTGTGTAAAATAAACTTGTGGGGGGCAGGGAGCGTGTTTAGGAAGGCAAAGAGCATCTGTAATCAAAGATGGAGTGCAGAGTAGGAAAGGAGCCCCTGGCTGGCAGAAGGCAAGGGCTGTTCTCTCCTTCTTAGGTCTCACTAACTTTGGGGCCTTCCCTTGCCAGGTTTTTGCATCACTTAGGACACCATATTTTTAGTTTATTTATTTTTATTCTATGTGTATGTGTGTATTGCCTGCATGTAGGTAAGTGTACCCGTGTCGTGCAAGGCTCGCGGAGGTCAGAAGAAGCCATTGGATCCCCTGGGACTGGAGTTAAGGACAGTTGTTAGCTGCCATGTGGGTGCTGGGATTCGAACCTGGGTCTTCTGCAAGAACAACCAGTGTTCTTAACCACTGGGCCATCTCTCCAGCCCCCTGGACACCATTTAATCCCTCAGCTGCCACTTCCCAGGGGTGGGGTACATGTGTTTCATGGGACAGTGAGTTTGATGCACTTGCTTTTTCTCTCTGATTCCCAAGTCAGGCCTGGTGTGGAGCAGGTACCACTAGAGTGTGTGGGGAATGGAAGTAAACTTTGGGTCTTATGTTTACTATCACTTCTCTGACAGATTGTCTTGGCCTTGCTATTGTGGTATGCTTTGGTGGGGCCTGTTTCTTGGTTTCCCAACACAGGATGCCCTCTTTTCTCTTTCTACTCCATCAATATCAACTTTTCATGACCTTTAAAACTAAGTTCAGATCTCACTTCCTCTCTGAAGCCCTCCTGGATTTGCCTGCTGACTGCCAAATACTTGCCAGATAGTATGGGAGAGCGATATCTTGTTGGGATTCTTCTGTAAGATAAAGAACTTGAAGAAGATGATTTCTGAAGACTTCCTCAGTTGCTTTCAGAGCTTATTTAGGACTTCAGCTGTATGACTCTCCACCATGCGCTAAAGATGCAGAAGTGAACAAGACTCTTCAAGGAGAGCCCTGTCTAATGGAAAAGTCAGAACTGCAGAGATGGCAGGACCTACCCCACAAGAGTATGTACATAGCACAGCTAGGAGCTCAGCTAAGAAGACTATTCTCTCCTACCTGGGAAGAGGGAGAGGGAGACAGGATGTGACTTGGATCCAAGTTTTGACGTATTAGTCAAAATTCACCATCTACTAGGTGACAGGTAAAAAATTCCAGGAGGAGGGAAAACGATGAACTAAGATGTAGATGCATGAAAATGGCTAGCACGCTTAGAATGATGCATTCGGTGTGAAGTGGTGCTCCCCAGGGGAAGGAGGCAGGAAATTAAATTTAGAATATTGGTTGGGGACTTGAGTAGCAAGAAGAGATATTGGAAGCTTATTCTGAAGGTAGCAGGGGGCCACAGAGTGAGGACATGTCTGTTATACAGTTGAGTACTTACTGTGTACTTTTGGATACTTACTGTGTACTGTTGTGCATTGTTATATTTGCATGTATAAATGTTTGCTCCCAATGGGCTGATGTTATCTCTGATCCTCTAGGACTCACTACACTCCTGGCACAGGATGAACTCCAGTGCTGAGTGGTTATCAGTCCCTTATACACACACATCATAATGTCACAATGCAGCCAGTGCTCATGGCCTGTGACAGAGCCTGAGCCCACCTGGTGAAAGCCTGCCAACCTCCATGTTCATGTTCTGCCAACACACAGAGGTACCCTTGACCTATTCTTTTCCCTGTTGGTTTTAGCTTTATGGTTATGACACTGTGATCCAAATAAATGTAGGGTCAATGCTGAGCCTGAGCTCCCAGTGCTTGCACTGCTGCTTCTCCCCAGGGCTCCTTCATGAAGGGCAGCCCAGCACCCATGATGCCAACAGGCTTCTGCCAGCCCTTGGGTAGAAAGTGACACGTAGCAATTATCCATTGAGATGGGAGAAAACAAAGATTAATTTTGAGTCAAAACATGTAATTTTCCTTTAAAACTAGAACCGTTCTTTTACTTAAGCTATTTGATGCTTGGGTGGAAAATAATACAAGGGGGGGAGCACTGAATCCCAAAGTAGAGCTAGGAGCATATATTTCTGGGAATTCATTCTTAAAGGGTTAACAGCCGATCTGGAGCTGAGTGGTGTTCACAGAGGCTCACCCACAACCATAAAGCAGTGCTGTGGGGTAGGCAGGGAGCTAATTTGAAATTTCTAATATAAGAGGTTAAAAACTTGCCTCAAGCCTTCAAATCTTGATGGGTGAGGATCTTTGCTCAATAGGCTGTCAAAGCTTGTCAGGGTGCTCTGAGCTGTTAGAAGCAGAACCCTAAGAACTGTTCCCCACACTTCTGGCTCAGTTTCAAGCCCTCCCCCACACCATCTATCTGGAAAAACCTTTCCTGACTGAGACTGCGCACCCCCACATAGAGGTAAGGCCCTGGGCTCCAGTCCTCACTCAGCCCTCACTTGACCAGCCCCTCTGCTCCCTGGGCCTCAATGTCCTCATGTATCATGGTCACTGAAGTCTCTCCTTAAGTGTCAACACTATTTTACTGATCTGTGACCATGCTACATATGAGAAAAAAAAAGTGGTGAAAGATGGGATAATTTTTATGCAGGTCAACAGGCGACCCAAAAGAGATAATCTCCAAATTAATTTGTAAATGGGATTCTAAGAATTCTTTTTGAGTTTTACAAAGCTTTAATTTTAAAAAATATTTTATTAAAAAAATTTATGTGTATGAGCCTGCATGTACGTAGGTACACCTGTGTCGCGTAATGCCCGAAGAGGTCCTGGAACTGAAGTTATGGACAGTTGTTAGCTGCCATGTGGGTGCTGGGAATCAAACCCAGGTCTTCTGCAAGAATAGCTAGTGCTTTTAACTGTTGAGTCATCTCTCCAGGCCAAAGCTTTAAATTTTTAGTAACTTTAGCCAATCAAGAATGACTTCTAAGAATGAACTGAGCACTTTCCTCCAGAGGTGACCTCCTCAAAGGCAGGGTCAAGCCTTAATCACCAGATCATTCCTGCACTACCCCCACCAGAGCTGGATACAATGTGCTATATTTACTAGGTGAATGAGTAAAGGCATAGATGGGCATGTACATGCAGACATGTATAGGGCAGTGTGGACACTGCAGGAGGACAGAAAATAAAGAAATGATCCCCCTTCAGGGGTTCTAATACCCCAGAACAGCAGATGCAAAATCTTCAGATGATTTGTGCCCAATCTGAGACAAGGTGTCATTGGAGCACATGGCCACACAGACTGTGTGGTTCAGGTGTCAGAGGCAGGACTCACTGAATTGTGTAGAGCATAGGCTTGAGACCTCATCCTGCCCAACTAGGTATGTCAAGGGACTTGTCATAGGCTATCAAAAGCTGGTTAGGAATTTGGGACTGTAACCCAGAAAGCAGAGGAGATGAAAACATGTTGGGGCATCCACTGCGTCCAGGGCATTGTACTAAGCTTGTATCTGATCTTCAAAACCTTATTTGGAAGTTGCAGTTGTTATGTTTTTTCAATAGGCAGGTAGAGAAAGGTTTTAAGATGCCAAGAAACTTGCCTAGAATCCCATTGTTCCTAAGATCCTGACATAGAATCTGAAACCTGCTGATGAAACTCAACTGTGGTGGAGTTTAGATGGCTTTCAAATTATGAGAGCCTAGGATGAATCCCTGGTTGTGCTGTAGACTCTGTGTCCTCAGGGACTCCTCTGCCTCTTTCTGAGCCTCCTTTTCTTTGAGTGTAAAATGAGAAATACTATATATATATATGGACCAAATAAGATGATGTACACAAATTTCTTCATACAGTAACATTGATTTATATTTTTATTAATAATAGATGAAGGAGGAAGGCTAAGCTCCTGAGATACCAAAGTGCATGGTCAATGTCAGTGGAAAGAATAATCTGGAAGGAGTAGAAAGTTGAACATTGCCACATCATTTTAGGAGGCTGGACCAATAGGGGAATAAGAGGTGGGGGCCAGTGATTGGGCAGTGCTAGCACACTCCAGGTGCCACTGGATGCCACTGCCCAGATGCTCACTGAGCTCTCCACCAGCAGACATGGGAACTCCCAGCACTTCAGGCTGCTGCCCCGTTCTCAGATAAGATGGATGCTCACCTCCCAACCTTCTCTCCTCACTGGACCTGCAAGAGGATCCATTAGAGGAGGGAGGTGTCCTCTCTCACCAAAACCTTCAAATCTTGAGGGAAAGGGACTGTCCTAGACCACTAGCATATTTGTATACCTGGCACTAGTACTTAAATGCACACCTCACCATAACCTGAAAAGTATGTACAACAAGGCCTGCTTTACAGATTAGGAAACTGAAGAATTGGAGTCCACATGGGGGGGGGGTTGAATATGTAAACAGCCAGACTAACTTAGATCAGTGCTGACCATGGCTCTCTAATAATGCTCCATCCCTAGAGATTCCCATGATGGTCCAGAAATGAGATCACCCCTTAGTATTGGAGACAGGGTATCATCTGACTGAACATGCTGATATGTAGACAGTGTGGATTGGGGCTCAGAGACGCACAGCTCACTGCAATGCAGAATGCGGGCCCTCAGCTCAATCAACCAAAGGAGTCAAGGGACTTATCCTGGGGCATAGGTTGGCAATCTAGGAGACAAGCCCAAAACTAGAGGACATGAGGGTTCATGGATACCTTATGCTTTGGAAACGCACCCTTTAAACCCAAACATTTCCTGTGGGAGGGATGAGGTTGCCCTTCCTGTGTCACAAATGGGAAACTGGGGGCCAGCATGAGGCTAAGGGATGCTTCCCTGAACACAGACCTGGTGAAGCAGATCCAAGCCCAGACTGCTTGGGTTGACTACTTACCGAAGCCTTGGCACGGGGACCGCTATCTTCTCAACCAAGGGGTTCAGCCGGTAATAATCCAGAAATGTTCTTGCCACGTTCTGCCCCAGCTTCATATCTATAGGTGTGTGTGTTAAGAAGCTATTTTGAAAAAAGACTGACACAGAGTAAGAAGAGACCTAGGAATGCAAAATGAAGTAGCAATAAAGATGGCAACACTACTCACTATTCTACAGTCTTGGTGTGCACTGTCTTCTTAGGTCCTCACAAAGCACTCAAAGATAATTACTATTATGACCTTCTTTTCACAGAAAATGAAACTAAAGCACACAGAACAGAAGTAAGGGAGGGGAGCTAATACAGGGTCTAAGTAATCATACCAAAGTCTTTGCTCATAGCTTTTAGATATCACTGGACTTTCCCAGTCTGGATTCAGGTAGACCAGGAATGAAGTCTAATGAACAAGATTCAAAGACAAGATAAACTTTTGTGAATGTAGATGAAGGATTGCCTGACCTTCAGGAACCAGTCATTTTACTTGAGTAACCTCAGGAATAGTGGGAAACCCTCTGATTCCAAAGAGGAACACCATTCCACCTTGATCCTCAACCAATAATGAATCCCTAAGGTATAAATTTATACCAGATTTATTAAAGTACAAATGCACTAGGGAAGGAGAAAAGGCCAGTTCTATAGTGACCATTAATACCCTGGTATTAATCAGTACAACAATCATATATCTGCCCCATGCATTATATTCACATCTCTGGGCTTTCACTCCTGCTATTTCCTTTGCCTGACTCTCTGTTAGCTAATCTACAGCAGTGGGTTCTCCAATAGCTGCTGTCTCTTCAGTAGATTTTCAGAATCCTCCTCACTGTCCTCACAGGGCTGTAAGTGATGGCTTTGGAACAGACTTCATTGAAAGTGCCTGTCACTTCTCCAAGTATAGAAAGTAGGTGTTTACCCACAATTGTTCCTCCACAATCCTCCCTCAGTTCCAAACATCCAAACCATCACCAGACCTTCCCCACAAGATTTCTCATAACTTGAATTTGTTTATCTCTTTCCATCTCCCAGAATAGGCCAGCATCTTCTTTCCCCTGGACAACTGTCACACTTTTCTGGGGCCCTTGTCCCAGGATAGCCCCCTCCACGACATTTTCTGCAGTGAAGCCAGGAGCACTGTTTTATATCACAGACTGTGCCACTCAGCTGGCTAAAATCCTTCAAGTGACTCCCAGTTACCTTTGAAGTCCCAATTTCTGCCATGATTTACAAGGCTATTCATAGCTTGTTATTCTATCAGGTCTGTGCTTGCAGTCTCCCACCTCCCACCCCTGCCCTTCACATTCCTCTAATCATGAAACTTCTAGGTCTTTTCCAATACCATGCACCCTCTTAGACACTCCCCTGCCCCATCCATGCCTTACAAGATCAGCTCCTTCTCAGCCTCTATAGCCCTTGGCTCAGTTGTCCTTTACTAGATAAATCCTTCTTGGTGCCCTTGCTTGAATACAGTCCCTCCTAGGTTTCCTCATGGCCTCTTTATCTAGTTCTCTGCCAGCCAGTCCATCACCATACTGCTTTTCAACCAGCTCTTCCTTTCAATGGCCCCTCTAGCCTACACATTCTATAGAGTGGAGGCCATATCTGTCTGATGCAACCACCTAAGTGCCCATGTGCTTGCCTGGTAGTAGTATGAAATATATATTTGTTAAACAAATGAATAACGATAGCTAATACGTAAGCAATATTTAATATGTGTTAGGCAATTTCATAACAACCCAATGAGAGAAGGCTATCACTACTGAGAGGTAGGTGACATCCCCAAGGGCTGGACTCCTTGTCATGATGAAGTTAAAGTTTAAACCTAGGAGCCTCCTCGCACTGCTTCTCTAGGTCCTGTAGCATTTCACATTTAAATCTGTTTCTCTTTCACCTACTAAATCATCTAAAACCTTACTCTACCGATGGATAAGACTCAGAGTCCTGACCCAGGAGCATGTGGAACAGGGGCATGCAGGGTAGCAGGACCCTGAGGCTGGTCTGAGACAGTCTCTGGAGAAGGACTATGTGTAGCTGCACTATAAAGGCAGGACAAGCAAAGAGGACTTTCAGAGGGTCTTAAGAGCAAGAGTATAGAAATGTTTTTCCATGTATCCAAACAAGCATTTCCTTAATCTTCCTTTCACTCTAAGTGAAAGAATTTTCCAGTGCACATCGTTGGTATCGGTCGACTCAGGTGAAACTGGGCAGGTCTGACTCCAGACCATGAATTTTCACTGCAAGGGGTTGTTTCCTGATTTGAAGGCACCTTCTCTGTCAAAACCTGAGTCATCCAAGACCAGTGTATGGTGGGAGAAGGAAAAACACCAGACAGGCTGTTTATGACAGTGAGAAGCACCTGAGGGCTGCTGTGCTCTGAGGCTGCCACCTGCTGCAGAGAAGGCTGACCTTCTCTGTCCCCTTCTCTAAAAAGCCCACAAGCTGGCACTGAGCATGGCCTTTCTGATCAGCAGCCCTTGGAGGCTGTCTCACAGCCAGAGCTTGCAGAGACAAGCTGGCTGCTTGAACCCAGACATTCTCTAGTTGACCTGGAGAGACCCAATCATGGATGTGTGTGGTGACAGGAAATGGTGCAGGACACAGAGGAAATGAGAGGTACCTATGGACTGGGCTAGAAAGTTGCAGCAGAAGTTCTGGAAGCAGATGTGTCTAACATAGATCCTGGCTCTGCCAGATACTACTGAGGTAGATTGTATTTTCCAAAGATATCCTCAACATTGTCTCAAGTCTCACAAACTATTCTAAAATGACCTTGACACTCCTTTCACTGCGAGGTCTTCTCTTTGAATTTTCATGGACTTATAACTTACTTCTAACCAAAACAATGACAGAGGTGGAAGATGTGGCATTGTGAGACTTCTGTGGTAAGATCAGACAAGGCAAGAAAACTGAATCCTAGTTGCTGGAATACTCTGTCTGGGGTCCTAAGCCTCTAGGAAAGCAGACTGACTGCCCTGAGGTCCTGAGACCATGTAAAGAAACAGTGGAGAGATTTCTTGTTTCCTTTGCTCCTACAGCACACTTCCATTCCATCTCCAGACATCATCATCCTACAACTGGGTCTGACTCCACAGTAGACCCTCCAGCTGAGACCTGCTCTGATGTCTGATCCACAGAGAACACGAAGGAATGGTGTTGTTTTAAGCCACGAGCTTTGGTGTGGGGGGGGGGCCAAAGACAGAAAGAGAGAACTACAACAGTTTAACTTTGTACAAGTCATTCTATTCCCCCTAAGCCTCAGTGTTCTTGTCTGTAAAATATCTGCTTCACAGGGTTCCTGGGTTGCAATGTACAGCTACATGTAGTTGCTATGTAGCACAGGACTGAATGAATGAATGAGTGGATAAGAAACAGAAAGAAACCTTCACCAGTCTATACTGAGAGCCAGACCCAAGGCACTGTAGGAGTTACCTTGCTCTTGAATATCTACAAGGGAAAGGGGTTGGGCTTACAGGAAAAACTGTAAGCTGTTAATCACTTTGGATGTGCTTGGTATAAAAGAAACTGTTGAAGATGGGTCTCCTCTGGGATGGCTCTCCTTCCCTTCTCCTGTCCAGTCCCAAACCCTCACTCACTCCATATTATTTCCTACAGTGGCTCCAATTGAGAAAAGGAACAGGACAAAAGGGTGAAGTTAGGGCAGAGATTGAACATTTTCAATTAAAACCAGAATTAGAAGAAAGATTTAAGATCTAGGTAAAAAGAAGCAATAATTTTCTTGGTCAGAACAATTTTCAACATATTGCAATATTAAGAGAGAAAAAATTGGGGTTGAAAACTCCCAGCCATTCACTATCCACAGAATTCTCAGGAGAGTCTGTCTGCTGAAAATCTTTCCATCCTCAAGTTCTTATGTAGGTCATTGGTCTTTTTCTCTCAGATGGCAGGGAATGGTTGGCCACGGGGCCAGGTGGGCTAGGAGCCTCAAAGTGGTGATGCTGGAGGATTCTGCTGGGATTGTTAGAAAGTTAGACTGAGCTGTAAGAGCCAGGGATTACGGTTAGATGAAGAAGAATTAGACAAATCCGCTTTGAAGTCTAGAGGAGGAAACCAATGTACCCCAGTTTACTATATTACCAAGCAGGCTGCTGCATTGTCACTGTCATCAAAGCAGTTATTACTTTTTTAATTTACTCTGTGCGATGCAGTTACTATCACCAACACTCACCATAGCCTAGTAAGACCAAAGCATAGTTCTACACACATTTTATACATGAGAAAATTGAAAATCAGAGCTTAGGTTATTAGCTCAGAGTCTTGTTCTCTGAAAGTGACAGAGGTAGCGTAGAGCTCTGGGGTCTTCTTTCTCTGGAGTATGATCATAACTCAACACAAAATTCTCTCACCATGTAGAGAGAGACGAATCCCAAATGGAGAAACTATGAAAGGCTTCATGGAGGTGGGTATGTAACAAAGATTTGAAAGACAAAGACAATCTTAAAAGGGAGAAAGTGGGCTGAGAATACAGCCCAGTGTCAGAGAACTTGCCCAACAAGCAGGAAGGCTTTGGGTTCAGTCCTTATTACTGTCCCCGCAAAGGGGGTGGGGAGTGATGGAAGCAAGAGTGGTCAGGGCCACAGCCATAAAGGAGAAGAGAGAAGGACAAGGTCCCACCTAGCTGAAGTCTACAGTGAAAGGTCAGGCTGTGACTCTAAGCTGTGGCCAGACTCATCAAGGATCTGACTGCCAAATTGAAGAAACTTAAACTTCTATTCTGTATGCAGTAAAAAACAAGCAGTGAATACTGGAGGTTATGTCTATCATTCTTTCATTTACTTTATAGTCATTGATCATTTATTGTGTTCATGATTCTTTGAAGGTTCAGGGTATTACGGTTAAAAACCAAATGAACTCAAATGTTAAAAGTAGAGACAGATCCTAGAATGTGTGGAAAACTTCCCAAAATATATAACCGTGATTGTAACAGTGCTGTGAGGAAAAGTTAGTCTTTAACTGAGGACAGTTGAGACATGAACAGGCTTTTCTGAGAAGGGGACATGCAAACTGAAAGTGGAGAGTGCTTGCAGCAGCACCTGTGAATTGAGAAGG